TTATTTTAGATGGAGATTTCTTATATATATCTCACATATTAAAAATTAAATATTAAAACCTAATTCTTAATTGTGGAAATTCAAAGGATAGAAATGTCACTTGAGAAGGCTGAAGGGTGGGATTTCACAAGCTGGTGGCACAACTTGAGTTCTCCATTTAGTAGATCCAGTAAGTTGATGTTTATTTTTTATTTTATATTTTATTTTATTTTTCTTTTAGCGTATTATGGGGGTACAAGTGTTAAGGTTACATATACTGCCCAGGCCCCCTCAACCCCATCAAGTCAGAGCTAAAAGCGTGTCCATCCCCCAAACTTTGCACATCTAACTCATTGTGTTTATATATACCCATCCCCTCCTGATGTTTTCAGCACAGTTAGAATCAGTTGGTCCTAATGTGATTGATTAGCCATTATACAAACTCACATGAAAGAACATATTCATTTAGGATGGAGCCAGAAAATTACTCTGGTATCTGCCCCCAGGCTACATCCTTTCCCTGGCAACACAGTGGGGAAGTCCAGTTAGTCATCAAATTCCCTCTGGTTAGAATGAATTCAAAGCAAAGGGAAGTGGTACTCCTAGCACCTTGGTAGTCAGGGCTTTGGATGTTTAATGTACCACTGGGGTTCAAATACAGACGCTGCTACTTACTAGCTATGACCTTGACCTTTACTTATCCACTGAAAACTTCAGTTTCCTCACCTTATAAAATGGGGACAATGGTAGTATCTACTTCATGAAATTGTTTTGAGGATTAACTGAGTTAGGGCGGTGTATAAAGTGCTTGTACCAGTACTTATTACATAGTGAATGCTGTATTTATGCTCATTTGCATTAGTCGTGAGAAGCAGTTCAGGAAGAAACGAGGAAAACTAAGTCTATCTGCTCACTCACCTTTAATGACCAGATTGCTCATATGTGCGGTTCTAGGAAAGATATTTGTACGTGTTTGTTACAAAGTGGCAAGGCAAAAGAGATACAGGAGGGGGCAGGTATGCTTCAGGGATAGAAAACTAAATTCAAGAAACCTATATAGAACTTCTCTCCTCTCTGAATTCAAGATTTAATTAATTTCAAGGGATTACATTGCTAATACTTCGTAACTGGGTCAACTGGACTTTACCATTGTTCTCTCATCTCTCACCAAAAATCATTTATTTAAGGAGCTGTGCAAGGTGTTTTACAAATGAAGTTGGGCAAGGGATTTAGTGCATTCTATAAATTGGTTCTGTATATTTGTAAATTATGCTGACAGGCACTCTTATAGCACAATGAGGTCAAAACAGTTTCACTGAAAATGGCCTTTTCATGCTGTACGCAAGCCAAAAATGGGAAAAGGCTCATAAACATACCATGTTATGTGTGCAGAAGAAAGCTGGTAAATTCAATCCAAGACAATGGTTACTTTTCAGCCAATCTTAAAGGACCTAAATGGCAGAAATTCTTAAAACATACAGCTATACAATATTAATTAAAGATGTAGATGTACTATAAAATGAAGAATATACTATATGAACATATACTATGTTTCATGCTATAAAGTGAAAGAAAATTATTAAGATGCAGTACATGATTTTAGAGAGTTTGCAGTTTAAAAGAGGGACCAAAATATACATGCAGTTAACTAAATAAAACAAAATAGTATAAATGCTATGAGTCGGAGGCAAAGTATAGCCTAAAAGAACATAGTTGGATTGAACTGATCTACTAGAATATAATTCACTCAATCAACTGCTATTTATGAAGTGCCTGCTATGAGCCAGGTCATGAGACGAAGGAATGCTAATATCTATAAACTCAATTCTTGATTCATTTCCAGGTTGCAGGGTAGAGAGTGGCAATAGCTTCAGCTTCAGAGTTAGAAAAAACTGAATTAAAACCTGGCCCTACCAGTGATACATTGGGTGACTTGAGCAAATAATTTATCATCTCGTAAGCTTCATTTCAGAAATCAGAGTGCCACCTTTGATTTCCTCTTCTGACTTCATCTGCATATAGCTAATCAGCACATTAGTACTTAACTGTGTCTTGAAACATCCCATCCTTTTCATCCCCCATGCCCAGTCCTAATGCTGACCCTCCTCATTTGTCATGGATTCTGTAACCCAAAAGTCACTTCTCACTGTCCAAAAGATGTAAGTCTATAATCCTTAACAAGGCGCTTAAGACTTTCAGTGAGCTGGTCTCGGCTTACATTTTTAACGTCGCATGATAATAATCCTCCATAAACACCATACACCTCTCTATCTACCAGCCTGTTTTGTGTCTCTGTGCCTTTGCACATGCTATTTTTTAAATGCCAAAGCTTGAAACATGATCCCTGTCCTCGCTCCACCAATTGCATCTGGAAAACTTTAAAATTTTACTCTTTCTTTGACATTTTACTCAAATACCATCTCCTTTATGAAGTGTTCCTTGAGGACACCGGGCACAAGTAATTGTTCCATTATCAGGACATTCACAGCATGTTTTAGATCTCTAAATATAGAGGTGTGTAACACATTCTAATGCCATTATTTGTATATATGCCAATGTCCTCAGCCAGACTGAATACATAAGGACAAAGACAAGGCCTTTCGCCTCTAAATTCTCAGTCCTAACGTAATGTCTGCCATGGGCAGACTGCACAATAAATATTTACTGTAGTAATGAAGTCAGATTTGGGGATAAGTGAAAAGAATCAAGAAATGCTTTGTGCATTTGATATAGGCCTTGAAAAACTTTGAAAATATTTCCTGAATTTTAAATATGCAATTTTGGGATGTTCGATGTTTTAACATCTATCAATAGTTATGTATATCTTTATTATTCTCTCTTTAATGTAGAAGTATTTTGCCAGATGAAGCTTTGTCTCTTCTATTGAAGGTCCTAGGTGCCATGCTCTGAGCATGGTGATGACTTAATACGTGTGCTATTACCTGATTTAAAGGAGCATCCTCTTCACGACTCTTAGAGGCCAAAGTCTATTGATTTCAGACAGGTACTTTTTCTGATTTTCTAGTACTATGTGCTATCAGAAATATTAGGCTTGATTGGGTGCTATGGCTCATATCTTAGTATTTTTGGAGGCTGAGGAGGGAGGATTGCTTGAGGCCATGAGTTTGAGACCAGCCTGGGTAACATAGTGAGACCCCCATCTCTATAAAAAAAAAAAAAATGAGCTGGGTGTGGTGTATACCTGCAGCCCCAGCTACTGGGAAGGCTGGGGCAAGAGGATCACTTGAGCCAGGAGTTTGAGGTTGAAGTGAGTTATGTTAACACCACTGTACTCTAGCCTGGGCAACAGAGGGAGGCCCTGTCTCAAAAACAAACAAACAAACAAACAAACAAACAAACAAAACCCTCCACAAACCATAAAATTAGGCTTTTTAGCTGGGTAGTAAATGGCCTTCCTTATGGCTCTACACCATACCTTTTGGCAAATGGAAATGTTGGTATTCACTCTGTACATTTAATTTCTCTTGAGCATATTAAAAATATCTAAGTAAGTGTACCTTTGAACCACGGTGGAAAACATGTGACAAGAAGCATGGGCACCTCACAGTTAATTCAGTTTACTTCTCCCTGAGCAGATCAACTGAGTCTGACTGTAAAAGTAGTACCTTCGACATTTTTCCGCCCCAGATAACGGTCCTTTCAGTTTATCAGGGATGGTTCTGGAATATTTCATTCTTATCTTAACTAGTATATGTTCCACATATCATTTAAAAAACAGAAGAAAAGCATGGGCACCAATAAAGAAATTATGAATTACAGAAATCCAGAACACAGTGTAGAAAGAAAAAAAATATATACTGTTGCAGTCTGCTTTAAGGAAAACCATTCCCATCATTCTAGACAGTCGCATTTACAAACATACATCTGGTTTTGGCAGCGCATCATGATCAGGAGCTAGGGAAATCGTCATTGGGACCTTCGTGTTTTATTTCCCAAGAGAGCTCTGTGAAGAAATGTGTGCTATCTGTAGTTCTTCAACTGGGAAATCCCTGCATAATACGAAAGGAATCGGCTAAATTTGAGGAGCTCACGAAGTATCTAGACGAAACATTAAGTGGGCTAGTGTAGTATCTGAGAGGCAGCGAGAGGCATATAGATATAATTCAAGGCGTGGGTTAGGAAGGCAAACTTGGAAGGGGAGGGCTGGCTCTCTTTTTTTCTCTTCTCCCTGTCAGATGCTGACAGGGAGCTCCCAGCCTCGGGGCGCCTGCACTTTGGGAGTTTTCAGGTGGGTCCTCCGCCTGCATTCGCCCGTCGACTTGCTCCAGGCCAAACCAGATTGTTTAAAGAAAGGCAACTTCTCCTCTCGGCAGACCCTTAGACCCGTGCACCTTCTCACATCTCCGCCCTTCTCAGACCCCGAGTTAGCGTAGGCAGAGCGGACGGTGCCAGGCAGAGGCTCAGGCGATCCTCTTTGGAACCGCAGTAGCAGCTGCCAAGGGGTAGCCAACAAGCGCCAGATTTATGTGCACTTTGAAAGAAGCACCTTCACCATTGGCTTTTAAAGCGGCGCTGTCGCTAGGGAGCGGCTGCTGGAAGGAGCGCAGCCTCGGGGAGCAGCCCGGGCAGTCTGTTCCCGTAACCCGGGAGCGGGGGCACGCACGGTCGCGCGCGCACGGACACACACACACGCGCACACACACACGCGGGCGCGCGCGGGTGCACACCCGCCGGCGGCGAGTTCGAGCCCCGTGCGCCCGCGTGCGCCCCTCGGCGCGGCTCTAGGCGGAGCGGCACCTCCGCGGCTAGCCTCCCGCCCCCTGTTCCTGCCGCTGCAGCCCAGAGGAGAAAGGAGCCTCTGCCTCGCGTTTCCCCTCAGAGCCCGGCGCTGCGACGGCGAGCGGTGGGGGCGGGCGCGAGGAGCAGAGCGCGGTGAAAGAGTTCTCCCCTCGCCTCGGAGTTGTCCGAGTTGGCGGCGCTGCGCCCAGGCTCCTGGCTCGCGGCGCCCCACGCGCGCGCGGCGCCCGGGTCTGCCGCCCACGCCCGCGGCCGCGCCGAGCCGACCGCGCCGAGGCAGCCCGGGCTCCCGAGCTCCCGTCCCGGCCCCAGCCCGAGGAACGGCACGGTTGTCCCCCGCGGAGGCGCACGGCCGCGCGGTCTCCCCGCACTCGCCCCGCGGCCCCCTCGGTCTCTCCATGGCGTCTCGTCAGCAAACCCGGATCCAGGCTTACCTGGAGAAGAACAAGATCGGTCCCCTGTTTGAGGTAAGGCGCGGTGCAAGAGGGCGGTCCCGTTGTCTTTGGGGGAAGGGGTACAGGGACAAAACCACAACACCCCCCCCCCCCAGCGAAGGAGGGATAGAGAGCAGAGGCACGGGAGAGGGCGCCCTGTGGTTCCCTGGCAGGCGTCCTGCCCCGGCCAGGTGTCCTGGAGCGCGGCCGAGAGGGCTATTCGCCGGTTACCTGGACGCGGGCAGGTGAGCGCGGGAGGGCCCAGCCTCAGCCGGGCGGGGGAAGTTTGAGGCGTCTCTCTGCCCTGCACCTCGCAGCCACATGTGCAGGACCCGGACAGGCTTAGACAGGTGATGAGCACGCATGCACACACTCAAGACTGTGTTGCACACGCACAGTATGAATTTCTTTCTGGAATTCATACTATCTTGCGTGTTGGATTTTTTTTTTAATGTGGGCGGTAGTAGAGCCCTAAAAGGTGGAGGAGGTGCTTAGCATTTAATACGGTTAACTGGAAGAAAGCTGAACTGATAAGGAGTCGGCTTCAGTAGGTGCAGGCGTGTTGAATGCAGTTGGCAAACTGGGAGGCTGACGTTGGTTTCTGGATGAAAAGGGAGTCCTTTGCCTTGCAGACCCTACCGGAGTTAGGGGAGAGAGGGTCGGAGCGAGGTTCTGCAAAAACACACGCGTATTTATGGGAAGGAGAGGTGTAGTTCTGAGCTGTTTTCTCTCGCCATCCAACGATTGATGACAAAAACACAGCAGGAGAAAGAAGAGCGGGAGGACTAGAGAAAATGGGAACGGGAGACTGAAACCTGGCACCAGCACAGCGTCCCGGGTTGCCAGGGCGCTGGGCAGGGGTGGGGCGTGCGGGCTGTAGCCAGATGCTGAGGCCAGCAGGGAGAGACACTCACTCTCCATGGTCCCTTCCTCTCCTGGTCCAGCAGTCAGGGGGGCACTGACTCACAGCGAGAGTATGTGGGAGAGTCAAGGTGCGCCCCAACCCCGCCCCTGAGAAGCACCTGTAGCTGTTCTTGGGGGCGGGGGGCGGAGGGTCGTGGGTGGTGTTACACATCTCGGCCTCTGAAGCAGAAACGCTGCAGGAGGAAGAGTGTGCATTGGAGATCGCGGATTGCCCAGCAGCTTCTCTGGGACGGAAGAGAAGCAAATGAGAATTGCAGAGAAAGAAAGAGAGAGAAAAAAAAAAGTCGAGTTAATGCCCCTGCACGCAAAGGAAGAGGAGGGCAAAGGTGTGGTCAAATGGGTCTTTTCTCTCAGGAGGACAAGTTTCAGCTAACATGATCTGCAAGATTTCTAAGTTTTACTGCCCAACTTTAAGATCGTACTGTCTTTTGTTTCAACCAAAGCTGGCGGTATGAGGTCGCCAAGTCCTACAATTGTCATCTTGATTCTTGTTTCTGCTAAAAATGTTACCAAAGATAGTCCATAGAAGAGCAAAATAAAATTGCCGGAGCTACCACAATTCTTTTCTTTGCCTTTAGTTTTATGTGTCGACTAGACATAATCCTATATAATTTTTTTAAAAGGCACGAGCATAATAACCCTCTGCCACACAGTGCATTAATTGCATCAGAAGATTCTTAAAATAATTACATTTACAGTGTGTGTTTGCTGGCTACTCTGTTAGAATATAAAGTACAATTAGTCAGGGAAAATCAATGAATTGTTTTTTATAGATGCTGTTCTTATTTGTTAACTTATTTTAACATTCCCAAGATTCTTTCTAAGTGATACGTGAGTTTGGAATATATGTAAACTTTCTACATAATTAAGAAATAAACCCATATTTGTCAAGGCCTCCCCCTCCCCTTTTAATGCTCACCTAATTCTGCACTGAAGAATTTTAAGTGATTAGCAACATTGTCTCATAAAAGCTTTGGATCTCCTTACCAAAAAACAAACACCAATAATAAAATTATGTGCTTTGTGTTTTATTGAATACATACTGCATACATCCCCATTAGCTTGGATTGTAGTGATGAATAATTCATTTTTAAGGTTTGATGCTCACTTTAAATTATTTAGGGGAGAAAAATGGATAGTAAATTCTCTTTTATTAAAAGCAGGATGTGACACAGATCCTTATACAACAATTTTGATCATGATAGGGCTTGGTTTTGAGAGTAGATGGACTTCACAAAATCAGACCATTTCTCTAGTGTTTAGCCTATCTTGTTTTATGCTACAGAAATCAGTGAAGAAATACCACCTGTGAAATGGACATTGTTGATCTAACATTCTCTTCAAAGTTCCAGGACCTTACTTAATGGTTCTCCTAAGAATTGATTCAGGAAGTGAGAGGAGGCAGCCAGGAATTTGAATTTATTAAGAAGCAGCACAAATGATTGCTACGATTTTAATCCCAGGGCCACATTTTAAGAAACACTGGCATAAACTAAAATCTCCATTTATCAATCATACATTGAAATAGGCAACTCCAAGTTTTATCATTTCTGTTTTGTTCTGATTCATTGTGAATCACTGGAATTGGTGACACAGGTTTCCTTTAAAGTTTTGAAAATATGCAATATCTGACAATATGTCCCCCTTGCAATTTTTTAAGTTAGGCATGTTTTAAGAAAAAAAACTTATTGGAGTGAGACATTTTAAAGAGAGCCCATGAATGTTATTTAAAACAATAACAAAATAACCTATACACTGATATTAAGAAAACTTATATCCTGTTTCGTACCTACAGGCCTTATTTACTAGTTGTGTTATTTAGTTTATTTCTCTTTTACTTAGCTTTTTGTTTATTTCTAACATTTTATGATTTGAGATGCTTATAAACATGTTGGATGCCATATGGTATTTCAAAATGACTTTAAATTGAAATTAATTTTGTTTCCAGGTGATTTATAAGAATAAACTTGTTCTACCTTTAAATTTGATTGAAGATGTTTTGAGGCATTACAAAACCATGCCTCAAAATCATTGCAATGCAGTCCTTGGTAATGATGTTTTAATAAAAAATGTGAAGATATAAGATGTAAATAACTTACATTTTATAAGCTCTATAATTTTTGTAAGATATAATAATTTCCGTGTCCTCATTGGCTTATTCAGGGCAGGCAAGCAATGAATAACCTGGACAGCAATCTATAGGGATGTTTGACCACATGCAATAAAGTAAAAAAAAATCCTATTTAATTTAGGTTTCTACACAAAACTTCTTACTTAACTGGCAAAATGTGAAATGATTCCCGCCAAGTAGAGTATTTTTGTAACACACATAGACAAGATACATGGCACAAGCACAGACAGGACTTGTCTCAAACCCCAAGACCAGCTAGTCAATAGTCAAAAGAAGTTGGCAGTCAGAAATTCTGAAACTTATCATCTGGTATATAGCTGCTTTTTGGGTTAAACTGTCATATTCTGTCTATTTTATAATCAGTTTAACTTAGTTCCCAAGAGGCTATATGATGTAGAATATGACAATAAATTCCTTATTTTATAAAAAATATATATTATATATTGTAGATGTTATATATATAATATGAAGTATATAATTTTTAGTTTCTCTCATTCCCATTAAATAAATAGAATAATTATTTAAAGATTATTGGTTGGAAGGGTTCCCAGTGAAGTCATATGTTTTAGTTCAGGCCTGATCACAGTCACAGAGTGTGACATCCTAAACTATTAAAAAGCAGAGTCACAGGGGTCTTCGTGAAATTGCCATAAAAATTTTAAATCTCTGTGTACTGAAGATGTAGCAAACCAAACTCATTACATTTCTCTAAGTGTGGTCTGACCCACTTAGAATGGAACAACTTTATCACGTTCTTTTGTTTAGTTCAAAGTACTTCTACTCGCATAGTCTAAGTCTGCATTAACTGATTTGGCATACCTGTTACCTACAAGGTGGGCTCCTATCAAACTGTGGTCAACCAGTAGCCTGTATCACTTACACACTTTGCTGCTGTGCAACTCGCTCTTCTCTGATACCCTGCCACACATTTTCCAGCCAGGTATGCAACTCCGAACTCCAGTTGGCCTCCACCTCTCAGTAAGCCCATTGTTTTACCTTATTCACCTCCCTGAATTAAATCTGAAAAAACTCCCCCTGCCCTATCAGAGAGTGTAGCATATGTGAGGACCTTCTTTGGCTGTTCTCCCTCTTATGAGGATCTCAGTCTTGGGACACGTGTTGCTCAATGCCTCAAAATATTTAATAAATACCTGGTCTATTTTGGCCGGTTTATGGTGTAGGGCCGTGGTGTTGGGGATAAGAAGGATGCTGCTTACTTCCTTATGGCCAGAGGTGGAATTACATCTCCCCCAATATCCCAATATATTTTAATGTTTAAAAATAATTTGCCTTTAAAGAAGGTAAAAATGTCACTTTAATAAAAAGATCAGGAAAAGCCTTCGTTGGGAGAAGTAATAAAATATAAGCTCAGTACTTATAACATGTTCAACTTAACTACTTACTTGTAAATATGTTTTTGGAGTAATCCTTATCAGGTCGTCTTCCCTACTGCCTGAAGTTATGAAGACTTTTCCTTATCCAAACTTGTATTCATCTTTATAATCTCAGAGCATTTAGAGGAGCAGTAGATAAGAAAATCAGTTCCTTTTTATAAAATTTTGCTTAGAGTCCAAGTTAAGCATTGTCATTGATTTACTTCAGAACCCTTTTAAAAAAATGTTTTCATTAATGTTTTTTAGATTATTAGTCCATTTATTTTTTGTTTCTGCCTTAATATATTTTATTTTCAAGTAGCTTATAAATAACTCAGTAAAAATGACTCAAAATTAGAGTCAGTAAATAACTCAGCATATAACTTTAGAAATAAAAAAGTAAATATACAAATGTAGCATCGATATATTTGAAAGAAGTAATTATTAGTGTTTTAAGGTCTCTTTTAAGAGAATGTGATCAATGGAAATATAAGACTACAAAAATAATCTAGACCTTCTTCTCTTTCTTTCCTTAATAATTCAATTAAATAATTTAAAAGCTATGAACCATGCAAAAACCATGTAAAGAAAACGGGTGAGACCCA